TTGGAGAGGGTGGGGGTGTTTCTAGGGGTAGCTGTTGGTAATGGAATTTTTTGGGAATCATGAAAAGGGCAGTTTGGTAAATTCTATAGTCCCTCCAAACAGCACAGAATATTACTTGGCTCACACCTGACATCACAGACGTACATTTTGAGAGAGAAAGAGGGAGATGAAGCCGGCAAAAAGGAAGCCCAAAGCAGTGGTGGTGGGAGGTAGTATAGCAGGGATCTCCTGCGCACACGCGCTCATAGTAGCAGGGTGGGACGTGGTGGTGCGAGAAGACGAGCGCGCCTCCCACTGGAAGCCCAACCGGTGCTGGACTGGGACTCGACCCTTTGGCTCGAGACTCATTGAGTCGTGGCTCGGTCGCCCTGAGCTTCTCCACAAGGCCACCTTGCCCCTCACAATCGATCAGGTACCTCAATTTTCCACAATTTTTTTATACCCTTTTTTGAAGTTCTTTACGTTTCAGAATTGCTGTTTCCACTTGCACAACCACCGGATTCGAATCCCTCTTCCTAATCACGGCAGATACAAAAAATCCTTGATAGTTACAGGGATTTATAGAATTGAAACCCACTATTGAAATAGTGGATGAGCGCATAGTTAGCGCATCATTGAAATGAATGGCAAAGAAGACAAATTTCATATAATCGACCTCAAATGATTGAGACATGAGATTTTGGTATTTTAGTTTGTATTGAAATAGTAGATAATTCGTACTCACTAGACCCAGAGGTCTAATGATGTCTGACCATTTGGGCTATCGAATAGTTTTTTTTATGAACGTTCATTCAAGAAGATATATGCATATTTTGAACGATGGTTTGAGCTCTACCTTAGTGGCTATTAAAGATATTTACTGCTGTTTGATAAGTCAAACTATATGTTGTAGTGCAGGGCTATAGTCCCCCTAAGATGGTAAGAGCATAGTGGGTATATTTAATGTAGACTGAGTATGTGAGATTTACTATTTATTTGATTGATCAGGATTGACTGTCACAAGTGATCATACCTGTTCACAGTGGATAGGGTACCATTGAAAACAATGAATCCATATTTACAGTATGTAAAACTGGTTCTGAACACTGAAACACATTATACAAGTACTAGAGGCGGACTTGTATGATGCGCGGGATTTAGAATTGTATCTGCCATCATCTTTCCCCCCCCCCCCCCCCAAAATCCCATCTCCCAACCCTTTTAAGTTGTTTGTGCCAGGGAGACAGAGAGAAAAGGAAAACGAGAAATTAAAAGATGATAGGAAATGGGAAGGTGTAGAATGTGGAAGAAGTTGGGGGAATGGTGATATATACTATGTGGAAGACTTTGATTGGAGGAATTTTTTTTTCCTAATAAATTACCAAATTAAGCTTGCCCCCGAAATACTGCCAAATATTGCAAAACGCATCCCTTATGTTTTCTCACCAACCCTCCCCTTTTATATTCTCACCTCCTCGGAATAGCTCGCTGCAGCCACCCCGGTGGCAAAATGGCCTAAAGTAGCCGTTTGTACTGAGGAGCAGGTTAAAATTGTGTTCTCTATGAAAACAAAAAAAATAATTAATTTTCTGTTTTGATTAGCATCATTAAAATTGCAATATTGCATTTATTTTTCAAATTTTTATGTTGTTTTGCAATACTAGAAACTAAGCGGGTGCTCAAAAAATTAGCAATGTGCTCCAAGACTGATGGAAAGGATCTCTACCTAATTGGTGAGATCATTTCTGGTACTCGTGTGCTTTCAAGATTTAACGCTCTTTCTCTCTCCTTCTTCCAAAGAGCTAGGAGAATCACATAGCTTAGGAATTATTGCATCATGCTCTATCTACCTCCAATGATGAACTGGTATGCTTCTCCTCTTCTCCGGGAACAGGCGTAAAAAAAAGGGGGATCAATGTCCTGCCAAATAGTGATGACACTGCTTACTATTATGCCACTATAAAGAGTTTTAACAAGACTCACCAGAAAAGTATTTAACAAGATGCACCATGAGGCCTTAAACAACAGAAAAATGGCTAGTCCTTGGCACCAAAAAGATGATGAAACAAAAAATGATTCTGCTTCTATTGAGTTCTAAATTGGACGTTGTTTAGTTTACGTCCAACTTTCTCTGTTTCTGTTTATTTGTAGAACCAAGTGACATATGGGGAAAAGAAAATCAGCCAGACACTGACGAGGGACGATAACTTCAATTTCAGAGCGGCATACTGGGCTGATCTTCATGGCCTTCTTTACAATGCACTACCAGAGGACATTTTTCTTTGGGGTCATTTGTTCCTTTCCTTTTGCATGCCAGATGACAAAACCTCTGTTAAGGTAAAAACCAAAGTTCTTCAAACTGGTGGTATTGTCGACATAATTGGTGATTTGCTTATTGCAGCCGATGGGTGTCTCTCTTCAATTCGTCAGAGTTTCCTCCCTGACCTTAAATTAAGGTTGGCAAACCAAAATGGTGGAATTTTTTTTTTGGGGACCAATTATAGTAAAATAACTAGCTTCAGGAGAAAAATGGTTGAACTTAAGAACCTTTCTTTAGGTACTCAGGTTACTGTGCATGGAGAGGAGTTCTCGACTTTGCAGATAATGAGAATTCAGAAGCCATTGTGAGCATCAATAAGGCATATCCAGATCTTGGGCGATGCCTTTACTTTGACTTAAGTTCTGGTACTCACAGTGTGTTTTATGAGCTATCGAACAAAAGAATGAATTGGATTTGGTACATTAATCAACCTGAGCCACAAGTTAAGGTGATTGCTTGCTCTTATCCTATGCGTACTGCTTATTTGAATCCTATATTCACAAATTATAAATCATACATGCCCAGTTGAAAGTAATAGTTTTAACCCAAAGGAGGGAAAGTGATTAGTGGTGCTTTCCTTAGAGCCTGTATCCTACTAACGTAATGCAGTATCATTGCTTCTATATCCGTAGAACCTATGTTTACAACCCTATTTAGTACTGACTTTTCGAAGAATGAACTTAGGGGAACTCGGTGACCATGAAAGTTAGCAGTGACATGATCGAGAAGATGCACAATGCAGCAGAAAAAGTTTGGGTTCCAGAGTTGATGAAAGTCATAAAAGAAACGAAAGAACCTTTCCTCAATGTTATATATGATAGTGATCCTTTGGAACAAATATTTTGGGACAATGTGGTTTTAATTGGAGATGCAGCTCACCCGACAACTCCTCATGGTTTAAGAAGCACAAATATGTCAATACTGGATGCAGCAGTTTTAGGAAAATGTCTTGAGAAGTGGGGAGTGGAAAATTTAAAGTCAGCTCTCGAAGAATATCAATCTACTCGGCTGCCCGTCATTTTGAAGCAAGTGCTACATTCGAGAAGACTCGGTCGCATCAAACAAGGTCTAATTCTTCCAGATCGCAAGCCTTTTGATCCGAAGAACACATGTCCAGAAGATTGCCAAGAGCTTCAGCAGAAAAACATGCCTTTCTTTGCTGATGTTCCATTTGAACTCATATAGATCATGTTATCTTCAAGCCGGAAGTGCTTTGGAATATTGTTCTGGCACTGTGTTTCTTTGCCTCAATTATGTGAAAATGCTGTAATTAGTACATATTAAAAAAAAATTATATGGATTCTCATGTTCTGGAATAGAACAAAATAATAAAAAACTGAGTGTTGCAAAGAGAAGCAATGAGAACAATGGCATTTGTAGTTTTTTAGCCCCAGGAAAGCCCAAGATGCTCTACTGTAGTTTGCAGCCAAGTGAATCGGAGTGACATCTTAGTGTGCCCCCATCAGGGTGGAGCTGAAAGTTTCACCAAGGAAGTGCTTGCAAAAACTCTTTGGTAAATAATGAGTTTATTCAAAGTGCATAAATCAAATGGGTCTTGTTTACTAACATACAACTCAGATAGGATCTAGTAAGAAAATCATCAGCCAATTTCCACTAAAACAAATTCAGTCAAACTAAGAAAGAGAGGAAAATTTATATTTCCACGAGATTTACATGCCTAATACTAAACTAACTAGAGAAGAAGATAATGGAGCTCACTTGGCGTATGCAATATGCTGCCTCAAACAATAGACCGGGTTGTCATGAACCGATGAAAATGCAAATCAAGCTGAGTTAGAAGGCCATGTTGCCTGGGCTGACATGATTATTCCCACAATAACTCCAAACAACCCCAGTGCACTACCAAAAATCTCAATAACAAGGATCTTCACAAAAAGTGATGAATTTTGGGCATCAGATAATGCACAGCTGCTTCCTATAATTCCTACACACAACCTGTCAACCAGAAGGAAACACTTAAACAAGAACAAAAAATAACTTTCAAAAAAAAAAAAAATGCAACACTATCTGACTTGGAACCAAGAAAGAAAATCTATTTATGTCATTGGGCTTCAAAATCTAAGTTTGGACAAACCCGCAGACAAGATTTGCAGAGCCCACAATGATTCCAGAGGCGAAGATTGCATATCCAGCTCTAAGAGACTCGGGTGCATAAATCTTTGATGTAGAAACACTCTCTAGCTTTGTTTGCAGAATAATAGCCACAATAACACCATATATAGCAACAGCTTCACAGAAGATTACACTGTCATCACACAAGCATTTGGGTCAAATAACAATCTTAGAAGACAGTCCTTCAGTGTCATCCAATTAAACGCAACAATCACAAGAGAAAACTAACTCTGGATACAATACAAATCTAGGATCCATCTCCCTCGTGGAACAGGGCATATATTTGGCATCCATGCTTCAGAATATCGTCATGTAACTACTATACACATCATGAGGAGACTAAAACTTCAACACTAGACATACTGGAGAGATCACATTCAAGGAATCTTCTCTCAACCAAATCCTACAAAGTGAGTTTAATTGAAGAAAGATGGCTAATTAGCGAAGAAGACAGAGAAAGCGCGAAGTAGATAAACAATATGAGGCGATATATTGTGCAATCTGTAAAAAAATGCATAATATACGAGAAATGAAGATTGGAACATTCTATAACGTGTATGACCACTTTCATTATAAGATTAAAAGCAAACATAGCCCTAAGATTAGGTCAAATAGTGGACTCCCTCTTCACCTTTGAATAAATACAATAAGACCCTAACAGCAGGGAAGTAATTCATGATTTCCTCTTTCCAGTTAGAGAATCCATGAAATGACTCCAAGAATATGATAATAGTTATTCATCAAACTAGATACACAACCTTCAGCTCTCAAAAACACTTATGTGATTGATAATCACATGCTATTGCAAAAGACCCCCAGATCACGCAATTTAAGGGTATATGTGGTTTTTAATGGAAGGGAAAGGCATTTTGGAATTCTATTAATAAATATGGGGGTCTAAAACGTTCAATTTTTTTTTTATTATATTAACAATCAGGATGTCATCACTAAAAGACTTGGTCTGAATGTGTAGTAAGGAGGATTTTACTGAATAATTTAGTGGTCATAGTGGAGTTTTCAATTTATTCAAAAGAGAAGAAGGAATCCACTATTTAAAATATAGTTTACAGGCTGTATTTGCTTTTAACCTTTCGTAGTCTCTGGGAAAATAAGTATATTCGCTTGCATTGAGTAAGACCACTTCCATAATATCTAAAGATTATATTTTTAATATTCATTGCCTCAAACAACCATTGGGTGATAATTCCTCCTTCCCTCCCTCTCCCTCTCTACCTGTGCCAGCTCAATCGCAGCCTTGCACCATGCACACGGGGGCACACTGATGTAGGACAACTTTGTAAAATAAAAATAGGGACTGTTTAGGAGCTGTGAACAGTACCTGTAAACAGTAATGGGGCTGTAAACAGTAGCATGAACAGTAATTTTGGCTAGGAATCACTCCTAGGGTTCCATAGGTTGCATCACAACTCAAGAAACATGTAATTGCTGAAAATTCTGAATATCTCTCTCCATCTATTATGAAAAGTAACACTAACTATATATAGAGTTCTAAGTAATCCTAATCCCAAAAGATTAGGATTCCAAAGTCTCTAGAACTACAAAAATACTAGATCCCTACAAATTAGAAAATTAAAATTAACTAAAATTAGGACTTTAAATTCTAAAATATTCAATACTAGAATTTGATTCAAAAATATGACCTATTCCAAAAATTATAAAAATACCCCTGACACTAAAAATATTAAAAGGACATATAAAATATTAATACTAGCAAATTAATTTAAAATAAGAATGCAAGGTTCTATATGGATCTTTGTCTTGATGGAAAGTCAATTTCATTATCTTTCACATCTTCAAATTTGTGTTTCCTTGAGCATCTTATGGATTGCATCATTCTCCCCTTGTTAGAGAAAACTCGACCTTGAGTTTTAAAGTGTTGCAGTATGAAAGTCCAAAAATTTTGAACTTGTATATGTAGCTGTCTCTGAGAAGCGTTAAGATGATGTCTCATTTTCTTCTCTAATTGAGGGAACAAATAAAAAATTTGAAAATTGATCCCCTTGATTGTGTCTGTTAAGTGTGGAGAATTAACACAATATTAGAGAGAACAAAGAGAGGTTAAAACTTAACCTAACTCTCATACATCACTTATATTTATAGTTAACCTACAATAATAAGAATTACATATACATCCTCTTACTATTAACAATTTACACATACTACCCTACTATTCTTAATACTCCCCCTCAAGCTGAACTATATATATCATATAATTCAAGCTTAGAACAAATAGCTGTAAGACGTGTACGACTCAATGCTTCGATAAACATATCTGCAAGCTGACCTTCAGATTTCACAAATGGAGTTGTAATCTCCCCAGCTACTATCTTATCCCGAATAAAGTGACAATCAACCTCAATATGCTTGATTTTCTCATGAAACACAGGATTGACAGCGATTTGGATAGCTGTCTGGTTGTCACAGAACAACTATAAAGGAAGTTGAATTGAAAACCCAATTTTCTAGAGGAAGTGTAGTAGCCAAGTCAACTCACTCGTCGTATGCGTCATTACCCTATACTCAGCCTCAGCACTGGATCTTGCTACCACAGATTGTTTCTTGCTTTTTCATGAAACAACGCTACCTCCTAAGAAAGTACAATAACCAATGATTGATCTCTGATCAGAAGGAGAGCCAGCCCAATCAGCATCTAAGAAACCTTCCACTCTAAGATGTCCATTGGCTCGTATAACAATTCAAATCTAGGAGCACGTTTGAGATATCGCAGAATACGAGTAATTGTATCCCAATATGGTACTCTAGGACACCCTATGAACTGACTTACAAATAATATGGAAGATAGGGATATATCAAGACTCAAGTTAGTAGTCCCCAAACCTGAAACTTTAGAACAAGTGCCGTTAGCAAGAGTAACACTACGTGTGGAATGAGCAGACTGATAAGTAGAAAAAATATCGGACGCACCAGTCATGTGATCAAAAGCGCCAGAGTCTATGATCCAGGGATTGCGATTGGAGGACAATAAAAAAGTGGAAGCAATACCTGACTGAGCAAAAGTAGCAGTAGAGGAAGATGGAACAACCTGTTGCTGAGATAGAAACTGGGCATACTCCTCTCGAGTAATAGTAACCAATCTAGTGTCTAGCTTGGGTTCCATAACAATGCAGCAAATAGCAAACAAGAAGTGTTGCAATGTCGAACCAGAAGAAAAAGAGAATGTTGGACTGAACCGGGCCTGTTAAGGCTGCTGGAATACTGAACCAGTCTGGAAAACCGGCCTGAATCACCGAACCGGACCTGTTAAGGCTACAGGAGCCCTGAACCGGACTAGAAAACCTGTCTGGACCGCTGAACCGGGCCTGTTAAGGCTGCTGGAATACTGAACCAATATGAAAAATCAGCCTGAACCACTAAACCGGGCCTGTTAAGGTTGCGAGAGCCCTGAACCGGACTGGAAAACCAGCTTGGACCACTGAATCGGCCTTGCTAAGGCCACTGGAAGCCTGAACCGAACTAGTTTAGTCCTCTGGATCACTGAACCGGCATTGCTTATGCTACAGGAAGCCTGAACCGGACTGGTTTAGCCCTCTAGACCGCTGAACTAGAGTAAAACCGGTCTGAACCAGACTGATTTAGCCCTCTAGACCGCTGAACCGGAGTAAAACCGGTCTGAACCAGACTGGTTGGAGCTAAACCGAACTAGTTGGGGCTAAACTGGGTTGGACCGAAGTGGGCTGGACCCGATCGAATTGGGCTGGGCTAAACCAATTTAAATTTGTTGGAGCTAAACCGGGTCTGGACCTTTTTCTGGGTCTGGACTCTTTCTTCTTCGTCGAATAAGGTTACTGTAACCCTAGTCTTCGACTGTGCCACCACGATTGCTACACGAACCACCACAGACCATGCCTCCAACAACGATGAACCACCACAGCCACAATACAGCAGCCACCACAGACCACGCGATCACAACAACCACCACAGACCACCCCTCACCACCAACGATGAACCACCACAAACCATAGCCACACCACCACGATGAACAATGCAACACCACCACAATAGTAGCACGAACAGAGCATCACCACCACGCTTCGACAAACACAGGCACCACCACAATACCACAAAAAAATTAATTTATTCAGAATATATTTATGATCGTAATTGCTCTGATATCATGTTAAGTGTGGAGAATTAATACAATATTAGAGAGAACAGAGAGAGATTAAAACTTAACCTAACTCTCATACATCACTTATATTTATAGTTAACCTAAAATAATAAGCATTACATATACATCCTCTTACTATTAACAATTTACACATACTATCCTACTATTCTTAACAGTGTCGTTGAAATTTTCTGGAATGATAAAATCAATTGGTGGAGCAAAGTGGATAGAAAGAAGCATTGGTGACTTTTCATGTAGATCCTTGAAAGATGCAAACAAATCAAGCTCTTGGAACATCATTGTTGTTGGTTGAAAGTCATTAAAGGAAACAATTTCACCGGGCAACACTTTTAGCACTACTTTAGAGCTCTTAGGTAGTAACATACTCATCTCTAAAGGTTCATTTAATTCAATACTAGTTGCTAGACTTTCCATCTTGTCAGGCTCCACAACAAAAAAATTGTCTAGATATTCACTTTTTACCTTAGCCTTTCGACAAGTAAGTAGCGTAGTTGCTTGGAATTGTGTTGATTCTTCTATTTGATTTCCTTCATCTTGAATTATTCGATCAGTTGTTGCTTTGGGCTACTTTTGATGAATTTTCTCTAGTTACACATTAGAATCTAAATAACATTGAATTTTACCCTTTTGCGAAGAAGAAACCCTTGATGTACTTACTTGGTAAAGAAAATTTAGGTACATCTCCGTACCAAGTGCCACTTGGAATGCATGCTCTACGTTGTATAGTAGCTGCCCAAGTATTTTTGCCTTTATATTTGCTCTTAAACTAGCCTTGAATCGAGCAATTGTTTGGCAAGGTTATTCTACGATATGGTTTTTCAAAATTAGGTCTTCAAATCTTTGAATATACTCTGTAACAGAAAGGTTACATTGTTGTAGATTAATAAGTTATTTGCACAACTTGCTACTATAGTTTGAGGGCATATACCTCTATTGAAACTTAGCTTTCATCTTTTGCCAAGTGTTTATAGGAGGTTGTCCCAATCTTCTTATATCTCCTTCAACACCAAACCACCAAATTTTTGTCAAGCCTACAAGTTTCATCTTGGCAAGCCTTACACTCATCTCATCTGAGAAATTATACCTAACAAAATAGTTCTCCATAAAAACAAGCCAACTAGAGAATATTGTAGAATCATCCCTTCCATCAAAATCTTGGATCTCCATCATCATATATCAATATTTAAGCAGCATAACATAGGATTTTTTGACTCTGATACCAAACTGATGTAAGACAACTTTGTAAAATAAAAATAGAGATTGTTTAGGGGCTGTGAATAGTACTCGTGAACAGTAATGGGGCTGTAAACAGTAGTGTGAATAGTAATTTTGGCTCGGAATCACTCCTAGGGTTTCGTAGGCATCACACAACTCAAGAAATATGTAATTGCTGAAAATTCTGAATATCTCTCTCCATCTATTATGAAAAGTAACACTAACTATATATAGAGTTTTAAGTAATCCTACTCCCAAAAGATTAAGATTTCAAAGTCTCTAGAAATACAAAAATACTAGGTCCCTACAAATTAGAAAACCAAAATTAACTAGAATTAAGACTTTAAATTTTAAAGTATTCGATACTAGAATTTGACCAAAAAATATGACTTATTCCAGAAATTATAAAAATACCCCTGACACTAAAAATATTAAAATGACATATAAAATATTAATACTAGCAAATTAATTTAAAATAAGAATACAAGGTTCCATATGGATCTTTGTCTTGATGGAAAATCAATTCCATTATCTTTCACATTTTCAAATTTGTGTTTCCTTGAGCATTTTATGAATTGCATCACACACAAAGACAAATAGACACACACAAAAGACAATCAACTTATTCTTAATTTGCCAAATTTCCATTCTAGGCTTAAAGCAGCTTTTATTTTTTTTTGAAAAATAATAATCATATAAATCCAATTTAAATAGATGCAAGAACCAAATAATCAAGGTTGATCTAGAGTGTAAATAGCTGACTGTTTACACCTGTATCTGTGTAAGATTTGAATCACAGACATCACAAAATAGAGAAACCAGCAATTGTCCAGAATAACAAGTGTTGGTCTGGTTTGTGCTTACAAATCAAGGTGCATGCAACAAATCATATTAGCGAGAAATATATATATATATATATATATAAAAAGTGTTAGTGAATGGGATTTTATTCGCATGCCAAAGGTGATCCAGCAGATTTTGAGAAAGTATTCAGAAAGAGGTAGGATTTTTGCCCCAATTTTTACCCGTAATTCAACTGTAAGAGTTTAAATGAACTACTTATGTATGATGCAGAGTTCTGCTATGCCTAATGCGCTTGTGATCTGTGTGTTTGCATGTGTTGAGTACATGCACAAAAGGGATATAATGTTCATGCACAGTAATAACATTATATGGGTATTCGGATTTCAAAATTCTCGACATGTATTTGATCCAAACAGAATAATTGATCAATCATATTAACGTATAAGAATTTTACATCTTCTATTCTCAAACACAAATTTTATATTCTTCCAAGTAAAACCTAATCAATCAACCAACCAATTCAATAAACCTAATTACGAAAACAATAAAAATATTACTCAATATTCCGAGAATGAATAAAGTTTGAAATAGATTCTTAGGGTTTTACCTAATGAGGTTCTTAGAAGTGATACGTGGAGCTTTGATTGCAGCACCGATCAAACTACTTCCTGTAATGTAAATCCCCCTAATAAAAATAAAATAAAATCAAGCTGCTAGAAATCAATACAAAACAAAATCAAAACAAATACAAGTATGTATGTATAAATGACTACAGAGATATGCAGAGTTACCAAGCAGCGCCGAGAACGGAGACGCCTATGGTAATGGCGATTCCGATGGCAGAGAAGGTGTAAGGTGAGATCTGAAGCATTGCTCTTGACCACGAGCTTGACGCTCCCACCGACATCGTTGATGCTGACATTGGATTTGGTTTTCACGTTCCTATTCTTTCTCTTCCAGAAATCTGACTGTTCGCGGAGAGACCTTTGATCCACTCAGAGAGAGAGAGAGAGAGAGAGAGAGAGAACACGTCACAAAAAAATTGTTGGATGAATTTCACTGGTATCCCCTAAGTTTTGATAGAATAACACGAAGAGCCTCATATCTATCTATACTACTTAAACGTTAAAAAAAAACTTTGGATTTTCTACTTTATCCCTAATTATTATAAAAATATCAATTATATCCTCTTATATATTTTTATTTTTTACACATATTTAACTTTTAACTATTTTATAGAGACTTCTAAATTCTTTTGAACTCATTTATTAGTAATATAGTTATATATAGTTATCTATATCTATATGATCTATAGTCAAATATATGTTATATTTTATTTTTTGGTATGTAATAAATTAATAATATTATAAGAGTGATCTAATCAGTCTATTTAACAAAATAAAATTTATTAATTATATAATGTAATTAGATGTGCAAATATTTAAAAGGGTCTATCAAATATCTAAATAAATAATAGATTAGTTGCTTAAAAATTTATAGAATTAATTAATAATTAAATTTAGTAATAATTAAAATATGAATTAATTATTTGAAACCTAATTTATTATTTATTTTAATTACATATATAATTTAGATTTTTTATAAAAATAATATTATTTAAATATATTTACGTGCAACGCACGTCGTGCATTGCTAGTTTATAAAAAGGTGAGACTATTCTCATCCCACAAATTTCCATTCTCACCTCATTTAATTTTTGTGAAAATTGGAAGTAAGTCTTCTTAAATGTATTTGTTTGGAAATAAGTTCGGCAAGAAAACTTATAAGGGGTTTAGTCCATGTTTAAAATTATATGTAATGACTTAAATCTACTTTTTTTTTATCTCCAAAACACCCCTAACAGTGTTAAATTTGGACAATTATGGAAAGTTATAGGTTATATATTTTGAGATATATATATATATAATAACAGATTGTTCAGTTTTTTTATGGAAACAAAATATATCATATTCGGTAGCATAAATTATGTCAAAATTATTAGGCTATTAACTCAAATTCAAATCAAAATTTTTCATTAATAATTCAAATTCAATTTTTGAAGCACAAGAAATTCATTGTTTGTTGTACAAGCTTCTGTCTCACCAGAAATTTGAACGATTTTTTTTTCTAAGAAGCAGGCGGTGTCCTACTTCTTCACACGATAACGCTACAACATTTGTGTTTGATAGGAGTTTCGAAGGTGATACAAGCAGCAATTGGGAGTTCGAATTTTGCTGTGATTCTAAGTCAACTTACTGGTTTTTGATTTCCTGAGATATTTTCATTGTAATTGGTTGATTTACATAATATGATTAACAATGTTGTTTGAACATTTACCGTAAATTGAAAGTTAGTTGCCGAAAATTTGATATTAGTTACTAGAATTTATATTTCAATGTTATTTACCGGACTTATTTTTAATTTTGAAAGTAGATTATAGTTTGTTTTTCATGTTACTGTTGATAGGGTGGCCCAAAGGTGATACAAGCAGCATTTGGAGTTATTATTTTTTTTTTTTTCTGTGATTCTATTTCAACTTGCTGGTTTTTGAGATATAGTTTGTGCTTTTATTAGAATTAGAATTGATTATTTTTTATTTTTTTTCCTTTGTTATTGTCGAAATTCAATGCCACTTTCTGGTATTCGTATCGCGACGTTCTTTACTGGAGTTATTTATTTATTTTTTTTGAAATTAGGTTCTAAGTTTTTTTTCAGGTTACTGGTAGTGATTTATTGAAATTAGAATTGATTATGTTTGTTTTTGTATATTTTCTCCTTTGTTTTTGTTTTATTGGTTATAACAAATGGAGGATAACATATTGGTTTGTTGCAAGTATTCTTCTGAGACTGTTGTGCTAAGAATTTCAATGAATTCCACAATTGATGATTTGTTACATGGTGTTTATGGCAATTGAAATGGTTTGAGTGTCAATTGTGTTGCCTTGTCGTACATTATTCCTAAACATCTGAATTGTACTTTTTAAATGATCATGATGTGTGAAACATTTTTTTTACTTGCACGATCTATTCAACTGAGTATTGTTGATGTTACAGTTGGTGTTAAAGGAAATGAGGTTTGTGATTCTGAGGGTGGGGAAGTAGTGGAAAGTTCTGAATCAACTATTGACCCTTTTGGTCACGAGGATGATTTTCTCCCTCATTTTTGTTCTCACAATGAGAAGGTTTTGTTGACTGATGGATGGTTAAATGAAATAGTAGAGGTTGGTTAGAAGTTTAAGGGAGGAATAGCTGATTTTCGGAATGCTTTATGCAAGCGATGTTGGTTTTCAATTTAATTATGTGAAGAATGAAAAAATAAGGGTGAAAGCTGAGTGTATCATGAATTATTCTGCTAGGTGTGAGTGGTTTGTTGTTGCTACACTCCAGTGGATAAATGAATGGTTTTACATTAAGAAATTAAACAATGAGCACAAGTGTGGTGTGGCTGCACGTACGACAAAGAACAAAAGATTGACTTCTAATTTTGCTGAAGGTCTTATTGTTGACAACGTCCAACAAAAACCTGACACATGACCAATTGATGTGAAAAGTATGTTTCATGCAGATTATGGTTTGACCATATTATATGATCAAGCTTGGATGGGTGTCAAAAAAGTAAGGGGTATGCTGTTTAGGGATCATTCGTTGTCATACCAATAATTACGGTGGTATGTAAGGTTGCTAATGAAAGCAATCCAAATAGTTATTTTGTGTTTGAAAGTGATTCGGACACGCAATATTTTAGTAGGTTATTCATGTCATTTAAGGCATGTATACATAGATTTAACTATTGTCGACCCATATTGTTCATTGATGACACATTTTCAAAGAGAAGGTATAAAGACATTATTTTGTCTGCAACTGCAAAAGATGGCAACCAATGTGATTTTTTTGTTGGTTTAATTTGGTGTTACTGATTTTATTTTACTGTTACATTTTAATATTTTGCTTGTATGTTACTATTTTTGATGAAATTGTTTGTGTTGGTATATGTATTGCAGGATTGTTTCCCTTGACTTTTGTTGTTGTTGATTCAGAGAATGAGTGTAATTGACGTTGATTTTTAGAATAATTAGTTGAGATTGTTGATAACACTAAGGACCTTACAATTATGTCTTGATGGAAACAATTCAAAGGTGTTCCCAATGGTGCACCATTCGTTTTGCCTACAACACCTAAAAGCAAATATGAGAGATAAGTATAGTGGGGGTTACTTTACCCATATGTTTCGTGAGCATATGATTTTTTTTGTTTACATTATGTGCTTATGCTCCAATAGAGGCATTTTTTATTGAAAAGTTGGATGCGTTTCGACGTGAATGAGGAGTCGTTGCTGATAAGCTCTTAAAAACCTTCCGTTTGAGAAATGAGCGAATGGTTTTTTTAAGGGGAAACGTTATGGGGAGATGTTTTTCAAATACGGCTGAGTCATTCAATGCTTGAATTACGAAGTCACGCCACCTACCTATCACAAGCATGATTGACACAATAAGGGGGCAGATCATGAACTAAATGGGTTGTTGCTTGAATAATACATTACAGTGGAATGACATTAATTGTCCAAATATTGAAACAAAATATCAAGCTACTTTCACTGAGTGTCGTTCCTAGTTTGTTAGAGTGTCATCAAGTCATGTTTTCGAGATTAATTCACATCCTTCAGTGACGATTGACATTGAAAATTGCACGTGTTCATGCCACTAATGGCAAATCAACGGTTTATTATGTGCCCATATTGTGGCCGCAATTCAAAAGAGTGTTAGGAACATCAATAAGTTTGTTGATTAATTTTATTAGGTTACTACTTATAAATTGTGTTATTCTGAGTCTATACACTCTATTCCTATACTCGGTCGTCCTGACTTTTCAACGGTTGACGTTAATATGTTGCCACCATTGTTAAAAAAAAAAACCAGGCCATTCAAGAAAGTATAGATTTAGGTCTAGAGGTGAGCTTGTTAGGAAAATTCGTTGTGGTCGTTGTGCCCGTTTAGGTAGTCATAATAAAAAGACTTGTAACGCGCCATTGTAAAATTTTGTATGTTTTATTGGAATAAGTTGTTACTTTTTTTTTTGTTAAGCTCTTGCATTTGTCATGTTACATATTGGAAATACCATGGGTTATCCAATGTGATAAGTTAATAGTGTAGTATTATTCTCGCATGGTTTATATGTTTTATGTTACTGTTAATGTGACCCAATATTACTATTTAATGTTCATGTTAAAAAGTAACCAATGGTACTATGTCAAACAATTTTTTTTGATTGCTTAATTTGGAAAAATTTAAATCATGTTATTTTGTTTGGGTAACCACATATGAAAGAGTTCTCAATTGTTTTACAAATAAATTATACAAACAATTCTCAGTCATGTGGCTAACAAGATTTACATTCACTAACAACTTCATTTCAACATTCTAAAATCAAATAGGATATGTAATTTGGAACAATTTTTGAGCATGTTACTGTTTGGGTTACTATTTGAATAACAATGTGGACATAGTTTCCTTTGTTCCACAAACATTCCATTACAATCAAATATCAACCCGCCAACAATTACAATCAATTTCTAACCAAATATCAACCACCCAACAATTATAACCAATTTTTAATCAAATATCAACCAACTAACAATTACAACCAATTTCTAACCTATCCTGCAATTAGCCTAACCAATCCTGCAATTAGCCTAAAAATGAATAACTACCCCACATATTAGTACTTCCTATTTGTCTTGATATCTTTTTCTCAATCTTGATCTTGTTTTATAGTCTTTAACAGTCATGCATTCCTATGGTTTATAAATGTAGACACAATTTTGATCCGTAGAGCGGTAAGTTGTGGTGGTTTCAATTTCTCTTCTATTGGCTGTCCACGAGCAAGCTGCTGCATTAAGTAACACACGTA